TTAGACTAGTAACATAATTAGCTAAATCATAACAGTTTCGTAGTCTAATGTTCTAGTCATAAGAGGCAAATCGAAGATCTTGAGTACTTAGTATGTTCGGAATGAGTCTGATCTAATTATATGCATACATGTTTCAACTTTCTTATAATATGCTTGCTTAGTTCGAGCTGAAAGCAATAGAACTTGTTTTAGATTCGCCTTTGAAAATTGAACATATTTTGAGAGCAATAGTGTTATTTTGGAGAATTCGATGATCAATAGATTCTGATGTAAAAGTTGTGTTAATGCAACAGGCAGATGGCCTTCTAGTTGAGCTCAATATCTCGAGCTGTTACGATTTCTTGGAACAATACTGTCTGCATATCTCGAGTCACCTCGCTACCATGAGTAAACAGAGGTAAATAGTGTTAACTGTGAGGTGAAATGGCCTATTGAGAAATAGGACTAATCACCTATTTTCTGTGTGATTGTTTGTTTTTAGGGAGTGCCCGGAGGAATGCAGAGAAGCTGTATCGACTTTGATGTTTTCAGCAGCAAGACTTTCCGATCTGCCAGAATTACGCGAACTGAGAGATATATTTACTGAAAGATATGGAAATTCCCTTGAATGTTTTGTGAATAAAGAGGTACTTACTCATAAGTCATAACATAATTCCACATAGAACTCGTTTTAAACGTATTCATATTCGTTCTTGACAGATTGTTAGTAAGCTTAAGTCTCAACCGCCTACAAAGGATATGAAGCTTCAGTTGATGCGAGATATAGCAGTAGAATCTGGTGTAAGATGGAATTCAAAGGCTTTGGAACATAAGCTATCGAAACCACAGATAGCTGTACAAGTAAGCCTTCTATACAATTACAACAATTCAATCATTGAAACATTGTAGTCACAAACAAGACATGCTTGTGACACTGTCAGTGTATAGAAGTAAAACGATTCTTACTTAGTAAGGGTAGAGTAATGTGGAGAATCGAAAGGAGTTCCTTTGTCCTTTTCTTGGCCTTCACATATTTTGGCTTCGATTTCATGTGTAGATGTTTTAAAACAAGTTTTTAGTTATCACAAAGTTCATGTCTAAGTTCTGCTTCTGTTTACCTTATATAGTAGTTTCACTTTATACCTATCTTGCACAGGACTTGCCGAAGAGTCATAGCAGTGAAGAGCACAAATTGCACAAGAAAATCGATGAATCAGCTCAGAGGAAAGAACATCAAAAGGCTAAGATTAATCATGAGAATGCAAGGATACATACGACTTCTAAGACGAAAAGGGAACATCATTCATCTCATGGGAGAAAAGAAGTCCCTGGCGATGTACGAAGCTTGCCTAAGGGAAAGGAGATTGGCAAACAGAAAAGAGATAGTATAAATCGCGCATCCAACAGATATTTAGATGACAAACCTCCAGCAAAAGATACTAAAGCGGACATTATTGGAAAAAATGGGCAACAAAATGATCCAAAGATCATTAAAAGTGTTTCTGAAGAAAAATCTGATGACAATACACCATTCTATTATAGACCAATTCAGCCTAGTTACAACAAGTCAAGTGCCTGCATTGTTAAAATCAGTTCAGATGCATCTCCTACAGGCACCACAGGGGAGACACACGGACATATAGAGATGAATCAGCGGGGAGTAAAGATTGTCAAAGAAGAAGATAGTTGTGTAAATGATACAATACAGAAGCCAAAACCGAAATCAGTCAGGACACGACTGCAGCCAACACATGATTGTGAAGAGGACTCGGATAGAAGATTGAGACACGGAAAACATGGGATAAAAATTGCAAGTAGTGATCATGTTGATCAACGCGATGAAGAGGAAAAGATGATGGATAGGCTTCTAATGCACTATACTAGGAAACAGGCTTCTAAAAATGAAGTTAAAAAACCAAAATCAGTTGTTAAATTAGCTGAAGTTGAGAGAAGTGAAGTATCAAGGAAGAGATCGATTCGTGTTGAATTGAAACAAGCAGGCCCTCCAGTGACACTTCGAGAAGGAGACACTCAAGCAAATCGCGATATGTTGAGTCCAAATGGGCATATACATCCCAAGATGCCAGATTACGATGACTTTGTCACTCGACTGGCAGCTCTCAAAGGGAACTAATTAAGTTGTAGTAAATTAGATGGAATTAACCATTGTACCATTCTTCATATAACTAACTGTTTTCTCATCATATTCTTTATTGATTTACCTTTAAAAAATTAGACGTAACACTTTCAAATGTTAAAATATATTGAGTATCTAACTAAGAAAACAGAATTGGAACTTTCATTGAACAGAGAAACAGAATTACATTTTCTGAATTGGAAATCACATTATTCTCTAAATGCCTTGTGTTGGGTTTTAAAAGGTGTGAATGGAAAATGAAGAGTTGCGACTTTTATGAAGAGTTGTGACTTTGATGAAAAGTTGCGACTATTATGAAGAGTTGTGACTTTTATCAAAAGTTGCGACTTTTATCAAAAGTTGTGACTTTTATGAAAAGTTGTGACTTTTATGAAAGGTGGTGACCTTTCCGAAAGATTGTGACTTTTCAAAGGTTTGTGACCTTTCCGGTAAGGCACAATAAGAACCTTTTCACACTACCCTCTGTTTTCTATAAATTGAGGGATTTCCTCTCATTTTAAAAGAATCAAATTCTGGACTTCTTCTTCTTCTACTAAATCTAGTATTCTAAGTGTACTTTACTGCCGTTGAGTGGCTCGCTGACACCAGCGTTTTGGGTATCAATACACTGGTGATTGAGATCATTCTATCCTGGGAGGACATATTCCAAATCAAACCTCGGATACTAGAGGGGAATAATTTCCTTAAGGGGACACTGTGCATTCAGTGGGCTTGATCTTCTTTCTGTTTTTCCAAATTCTGGTATGTGTTACAGATTTTAGATTTGTGAATTAATTTATGTTCTTCTGTTCTTCA